TTTAGAACCATGCTAACGGTAATACACAATAACTCTTTCAAACCATATTAACTTTGAGTAGTTGAAAACGCCAAGGGAAAATGGGGTATTGGTTTATCATTTATTATTTAAATAATCAATGATAAACCAATGTCCCATTTTCCCCTGACGTCACTCATATAACTAAGTTGGTTATTTAAGAACAATTATAACCATTATATTTTATTAATCGAAATTAAACGTAACGTATGAAGAGAACAATATCTGATATAGCAATGATTGGTTACTCTAACGGTAAACCCCATTAGTTAGTGATCTTTGACAATAGATGATCAATCCGAGTTTTCATTAAAGGTTGTCCTTTCGAATTACGTTTCAAAAATTTTTTCTTTGTTATTTTTCGTTGAGTAAGATAAGCCTTTTGTTTCTGAATTCGTATTTCTTTTTCTTGTTTAATAGCCTTAATAATAATCATATAAATTATTTTTTTTCTTCTTGCAAAGATAATTTAATAGAATACTGTGCTACTAACTTCAATTTTAGCCTGTTTTTTATGTTGAAAATGTTCTCTTTCTTTTAGAACTTTATAGAATGGATTTGGTTTAGGTCTATAAATTTGATTAAAATTATTAAAATTATTATCTGTAAATGATTTCGTTCACTGAAAATTATGTTACCTATGATTCGATTTGATCTTTTATTATAGTATATAATAATTAGCCTGTTACCACCATTATACAATAAATACAAAAATACGATTGAAAAAAAAAGCTATCAATTCACCTTTCCACTCTTCCTAGATTCTTCGCGAGAACCCTTATCACGTTTAATTAATTCTTCATGGTGATCATCTTCATGGTGATCATCTTCATCTAGGTTATCTTCGCTATCTGACATTTGCCTTTCCTGATTTGTATAATCCTCATTGATATCTGTTGACTTTTCGTTAAATATCTAAATATTTAAATTTTTTTTAAATTTTTTTTTTAATTTATTTGCTTTTAATTACGTTAATTATATCGAATGGGGGTCAAAATCCCGAAAAACGGATTCCCGAAAGAACATAATACCGACAAAGTTAGCCGGCATTAGCTATAATGCTGGCCAATTTAGTCGGTGTTATGTTCTTTCGATGATCTGTTGTTCGGCATTTTGACCCAAAATCAATTATATCAACTACTTCCATAAATTTAAATACCTGTTTGTAGAAGGAAGGCGTCTCCAATTCATGTTTTTCTTTCAATAAAGTTTTGTAAAAGCCTTTCTTCGTTTTTACTTTATGAACAAATTTCTTTTTTATCTTCTGAGCTATTTCATGGTGATTAATTAAAATTTTGTATATTTATAAAGACTACTCCACATTTTATTAATTGCCTTCCGTACGAAACCTTTATTATTTATCAAAAAATTATTAAACGTCTTTTTTCGTCTAGGTAGACTCATGTTTTTTATGATAAAAGTAAATACTAGGATCTCAATATATATTGACAAAATGCTTTAAATTACTATTATAAAAAATGTAATAAGACATAGTACAAGAAAAAAAATATAATTTAACGTTAAAAAAAAACGCTAAGACTAAATTAGAATGTATATCATGTGATAGTAATGATACAGGAATGGTAAAATATGATAGAAATGACGTATTACGATTAATATTAATTCATACTGATATTTATTATTCAAAATTTTAAAAATTTTAACATTCATCATGTTTTCATAAATCTTCCAAATATTCATATCCTTCTTCGATCTCTCCATCTTCTGTGCTTTTTGTCTCTGCTAAAATTTCCTTATCCGGGTCTATGTACGCTGTCATTTGCGTGGTTACCTGTCCTTGATATGGTATGTGTTCTGACTGTTCTTCCGTTTGTTCCATAAATTCGCTTGTTTGTTCCTCATATTCGCTTGCTTGTTCATCGTATTCACTACTATGTTCATCATAATCACTCAATACTTCATCATAATCATCATTATGTTCCTGTACTTTGTATTGATTGTTTCTGCTTGTATACTCCGTGGATGGTCCACCATAATCACTACTAGGTCCTTCATATTCGCTATTTTGTTCTCCATATTCTTCAACCGCATCAGGGTATTCATTAATCTGTCTCTCATATTCATCTGTTCGCTCACCATAGTCTTCCGGTTGTTCATCATATTCTTCAATAGGTTCATCATAATCTTCCTCTGCATCTTCTTCTTCTTCTGTTCGAACTCCATATTCTTCATTATTTCCTCCACCATATTCCTGGCCTTTAAGAGGTTGTCGTTCGAATTCAATAGGTTTTTTATTTTCTCCAAATTCATCAGTTCGTTGATCAAATAAATCTTTAATGTTTATTCCTTCAACTTTTTTAACTTCATTATTAAATTTTAAGTTTTCATTTTTCGTTATTATTGTTTTAGAAGTGGTAACCTCGACCTCTTCCATTCCTTCTTCTTCCTCTTCTATGTCAGGACTATTTGCTACTGATGATTCTATTTCACGCGGTGTATTATTATTATTGCTGTTCAGATTCTCTCCTGGTGTAGATACTGCAGATGTAAGAGAGGCTTGGCGAAGTAATGATACCTTTGCAAATGGTGGTCTCGAGAAACTTGAATCTGGTTCCGTCTCGGATGGTTGAGGGGTAGATGCTTCTGTT